GTAGAGAATTATCCATTATTATAATTTTTCTTGATAGGTATACATGTATTTATGTTGTGTAGAAAGTTTAAGCTGATTCCAATCGAATTTGGATTTTTTACGAATTTTTGAAGTTGCTCCAAAATCAGGTCAAAGTCCCTGTGCTATAGTACAGGGTCTTCGGCCAAATTTCGTCAAAAATGAAAAGTAGAGAATTCTTCATTTTTATAATTTTTTCTGATGCATATACATGTACTTATGTTGTGTAGAAAGTTTAAGCTGATTCCGATTGAATTTGGATTTTTTACGAATTTTTTAAGATGCTCCAAAATTGGGCAAAGTCCTGTACAGGATCTTAAGTCAAATTTTATCAAAAATAAATATGTATTTTACATGCACATGTGCATGTACTTACATGTACGTTGTTTACAAAATTTTGAGCTTATTCCTATCAAAATTGGATTTTTGTTTTTTAAGTTGTTCAAAAATCTGGTCAAAGATCACCGGTTACATGTATGTATATAGTACATGATATACTGTATTCCATGTCAAGATTAGCAATTGTACTCATGTATAAAATTCATCTGAAAGCCCATTGTATTTGTATCATAATTTTCTTGTTCTAACTATAGACATCAATCCCAGAGACCATATACATTGTTGAAGTATTGTTGAGGTGTTCCACTGATTCTGCTGTCCCTAAACCAGCCACTGGTCATAATAACAGAGAAGAAATGAGAGTAAGATATTATAAACCATTCCATCACTGTACACCTGTATGTACATTGTCATATCAATAGATTATACCTTCATCACTTAATTCACTTCACAAGTTGAGCTCTGTCAGGGTTTACCTACCTAAGGATCTTAGACCCTCTGATAGTAGATTCATGGTTGGAAAATCTATAGATGTAAGCCAATGGAATAATTGTGTGTTAAAATTTATAAAATTAGTTTGATGTGATACTACATGTGCATATATATACCGTATAGGGGGAAATTTTGGGGGTAATTAAATTTGGCAAATTTTGCGTTTTGATAGCCATTCACCAAAATAAAATCTGCCATTTTTAGCCATTATACACATGCTCAATGGCACAGGGCCACAAATTTGCCAAATTAAAATCTGCCAATCACCAAAATTTAGCAATTCACCAAATTTTAGTCCCTCCAAAATTTCCCTCTGTTCAATACATCATTGTTGATCAGTCTTTAGTAATAATTTGCATTTGTGTGGATGTATAGGAAGTGATAAAGAGATTCCCTGATGGTCTTCCATTGCTGGATCCAGTAGCTGACATGAACATTAAGGATGAGGAATTCAAGAAGATTGTTAAAGTATGCGATGTGCATATAAATAATGATGGAGTCATTATTGTCTTTTTATGATAGAAAATTGAAGCACTTGAGAAGCGACTGGTCACTAGTGTTGCTCATAAAAATCCAAACCTTGAGCAATTGAATTCATTATGTCAGAAAAAGATTGAGGTAGATAATGATTGTATTATTATTGTTGGAAATCTACGTGCAGATCCACATGTAGTTATATGTACAATGTAGCAATGAATTTGTGTGTTTTAGTTAAGTTCTGCAGTAAGAGAGTCCAAGAGAGAACTAAAGAAAGCACAGACGATAATGCAGATGGATGAACTGAAGTGTAGGAAACGTGTACTTAGAAGGTACACTGTACATCATTAGCAATGTCCATACATTACTGTACTCTAGTCTAGTGCACTACTAGCCATTCACTGACAGTGTCTCTTCATTCTTAGATTAGGGTATGCTAATTCTTCAGATGTGATTGAATTAAAAGGAAGAGTAGCATGTGAAATAGACTGGTACAGTATATTAACATATGATTAACTGTTAATTTTTATACTGTATATAGTGGTGAGGAGTTGTTGCTCACTGAGATGATATTCAATGGAGCCTTCAATGACCTTTCAGTGGAACAGTGTGTGGCTTTGCTCTCATGTTTTGTATTCCAGGAAAAGGTAATATTACCTATACGTAGCCAACTTTGTTAAAAACATCTTTGTGGTTATTTTGATCTATGTCCACTCTGTTACTGATGAGGGATATCAAGGTAACCATAGAATTGCCATAAGATCAAATTAAGTAGCCACAAAGTTGGATGGATTCCTATTATCAGTTGCTTTTAGT